ATGACAGTCGGAAATGAGTTAATGAAAATGAGATTTCTATAACATGGTGCCTGTGGAGAAACTGCCAGGACCATGAAAAATTGATAAGAAAAATGTATTGTTATGTGATACATTGTGATGGAATTTTACCTTATCTATGTTTGGTTAAATTCTAGCCTCAGATATCCTTGGTTCTCTACAAATTATATTTTTCCATTGTGTGATGAAAAATTCACATTTCCTTTTACAAGGAAATATTAGGCCCAGTTTTTGCCCTGCATCAGGCCAGAATGTGGTTGAATCTGGACCTGCAGCCGTACAGTATATTGAGTAGGCAGTCCAGCAGCATGGAGAGGTGAGCTAGGCCTATAGAACGGGGAGCACGTGGGGAAAGCGCTGGCAGTGCTGTGTCTGTCACGGCAGGGGAAACTGCGTGCTTCGTGTCTGTCGTTCGCTGCTGGTCGTGCTCGTGACGAGGAAAGGCGTGGGAAGGGAATAAGGGGAGAAGAAGCACAATAAGATGAGGACCTTCATCGTCGCGTCTTCGTCTTGGTCACTTATCGTTCTCGTGCTTGGTGTTACAAACGCGGCGAATGTGCTGGTGTGGTTCCCATTCTCGACCAGGAGCGAGAACAACGTCATTTGGCCCTTGACAGAGGGCCTGGCTGCCAGAGGGCACAGCGTGACCGTGGTCGGAGTGTGGGACAGCAAAAAGCAAGTATGTGCTGATGTGACCCTGCAGTTCTCATCGTATCCTTCAATCACGCGGGCTAGCATACCTGACCGGATGTCCATTCCCGTCGGCCCTATCCGCTCTGTCCCTATTAGACACGGAGAGACCAGCGCCGAGAATCCTGGCTCTGATGGTCGTTGAGAACGTGGCCTTGAAAGTGGCTGATGCCCGCGCTGCTCCTGTGCGCCTGCTTGTGTTGAATAACCAGGGCGAGACTGTACACTTCTGGACTCTGATTTCCTGCGGTGGACCAGCAGTATAGAATTATTGTTCCCTCAGTGTTTTTGGCCTCCAGACCAGAAAATTGTCTTTAAATTATTTTGCAGACGAGCAGAAATCTCTTGAATACCTGGCATAAAGTACTCCAAACAAAAGAGTTACTGTATTTCAAAAATTAAAAGAAGAACCAATCAAGCAGCTATATACAGTGGAATGTTTTCAAAAAACAAAACAAAAACGCTGAGCTTCAAGAAAGGCTATTGATATTTGAAATAACTGCTTTCAGGAGGTGAACACTTTTCTTGTGTAATATTAGGAGAAAAGCCAATTTATATGTTTTTTATCAGATAATTTATTCTACTGTACTTTTTTATTCGTTTTCATTTCAGTTTAAGATAACAGCCTTTCTTAGTATACTATTGATGCATTCATAATACTGACAAAAAATTTCTGCAGACTGGCAAAATTCTTGCGCTGCTCGTCATCAGACCACAGACCAGGGCTTTCGGACCACTGGCCTAGAACAAGTAGGCACAAGTAATTAATTGGATATAGGAGGCAGGGAATATTCCTCAGTCTCAGCGTACTCTACCCTGACAGAGAAGTGCTGGTTCACATCCACAGATTGAAGTTCTGCAGAGGCTTTTCTATAGTGAGGACTTACCCTGTGGTTCATTCAGCAGAATTGATGAGAGGAAAGTTAATTTCGCCGTGATTCTTAAGGGGCATATACTTTGGAGGGAAAATGTGCAATTCTGCAGGAATCTCTTTCCCCATGGTAAGAAAATTCTTTAACCCTTGGGCGGTGAAGTTGGCCTTTTTCTGAAAAATTTTGTGTCTGTGAGGACAGGTTTTAGAAAAATAGTCACAGGTTACCCAGGGCAAAGTCTGGCAAAATCCTGGTGTATTTTTTAAAATCCACAGAAAATTTTTGACCAAAAAAATAATGAATCACCAAGGCTGAGCTTTTTTTTAGCCTCTCTATGGATTAGTTGCATTCTTCTCAGATTTTCAACCCTTTCATTCTGGGCACCAAATGGAGGATTATTATTGAGAGGCAGACAAAGATTAGCAGAAAAAGCCCGACTTTTGGAATTATTAGAAGTACCTTTTTTTGGAAAAAGTCCAACTTTGCCCTTGGTGACCTGGCCTGGCTTTCCTGGCCTCCAAGAAAAATTAAACGCAAGACCACCCAAGAAAATCCCAACTTTGCCCTGCAATGGAAAGGAACCCTCTGTGGTCCAAGGGTTAATGAATCCAGCCCAAAATAAAACAAGAACAATCTTTTAACATGCTTTGACTGTATATCCCTAGCCTAACCTAACCTATAATGAATGCAACTAGAAAATATGAAAAGTAGAATGTTTTACCATGCTTCAACTCCTCATAACAAACTTTGCACACATTTTGTGTCATCCTGGTCTGTATAAGGTCTCCAGTGAAAATACAGATGGCAGAACTAAACATTTGTTCAACCAAAGCATGAACGCCGCTTTGAGAATCACTGCGGAATTAACGGTCTGCTAAATGAAACACCGCGTAGGTGTTCAATGCGGATTTGGAAAAAGACCCACGGGACGGCATCCCATACTGTATACTGCATACAGCACACACCAGAGTCGTAGACCCTGCCTGGGCGAGACCCACTCCTCCAGTGCATCCTGCCTATAGGCAAAGGAATACTCCTGAAGAACGTTTCGGGCAGAGTATGCTGTGCCGCCGACACTGGGAGGCAGTTTCCAGCTTGACGCAGAACGCTGCATTTAAATCCTTGCGACTTTTGAGTCATTTGTATGAGGCGTTGGTTGACGGGATACTTTTTCCCATTTCGAAAGTCTTTGAAAATGTTACGGTAAAAAATAGCGTAATTCCGCTAGTTAACAATACAAATTGAGATGAGAAGTAAGCACTGAAACCACTTGAAAATCTTAATCCTATCTCCGTGTCTCCTTTTTTACCAAAAGCAGATGAGTACCACATAATTAAAGAAGATAAATTGCTCGAGTGAAATGGTCACTCAGATCTCAAATGCAAAGATTTTAAGAATCCGGAATGCAGCAAGGGGGATATACCAGTGAAAACCCGGGCATTAATTTCCTAGGTTAGCTTACGACTATTCAAACTGACAAGCACACGTTGCAGAAAGAAATAGTGAGATTTCTGCTTTTCTTTTTTACAGGCAGTTTTTATTGGGCTGCAATGCCTTCATAGGAAGAAAAGCCTGCTAAATCTACGAATGCAAATAATAATAATAATTCTGTACAAAGCTGCGGTTCGCCATGTTACCCACGTGCAGCAGAAGTTATCAGCAAACTCTCAGCAATAATCTAATCTAAACTGCACAAAACAGAGAGCAGGGATAATAAATATCCAGCCGTAGTTTACTCTGGAACGAAAATTTCCAGTAATGTAATTGAGGACTTGAACGAAACTGGAGCCTTTGGGGGGGGGGGGTGGGGCAGGACTACTTTTACAACTATTAAAAGGTGCAGTTGATTGTATAATTACGGATAATCCATATTTGTTTTCAAGAAGTATAGGAACGGAGGCACTGCTGTGAGTGATCGTTCTATCACGCACTGCGACATAGGTCACGTATAGATCGGGCATCAAAAAAAGTTGCTCAACAAAGAGGAACCTTCCACCATCTTTGAAGAATACAGTAATATTCATGATTAGTGCATCGATCAGTGCTGAAGGTGACTGATAATTGAACATGTGCAAAATTGACACTACGCTAATGCGCATCCCTTCACACGAAGACTCTTCTGCACAATGTGGCAGATCTTGGAAATCCTTGGAGAAGTACTTGTGCGAAATTTTTCTGGACATTTGGTTGGTTGAATTGGATACCCTGAGAAGGGACACCAAACGACCCCATGTGAAATTTAATTTTTGGGAAAGAATCAGTTTGCGCACTGGCCAATTACCATTTTTTACTCCTCATTTTCTTATAGGGTTTGTCGAATTCTCTTCAAAACTTTTTCTCTCATCAATTTTCACCTTTTACAATCCTCTTTGCAGATCAAGGTGTACCGCTTGATGATTTTTATACCTGTGTAAAACTGTACGGTACCAAAGCATTTTATTCTATAGAAACCTTGAGGCTGAAGAACAACGTGCCTGTTTGTCTGTGGAAAATTTATTTTATTGTTTTTTTTGCCGTGATACTGATAGGAAGGCACAAAAAAAATCAGGGACTGATCAGAACAATGAATGCTTGGAGTTTTCTTCTCAGCACCTCAAGAGGAGTTTACTACAACTGGAGCAGACCGTATCCAAATTAACTCAGGTTGATGATCATGGTTTCTTGCAAGCAAATGCGGTTAATGATTTCTTGAAGATCACGATGGCTTTGATCAGTTGAATGATGGGAATGAATCTACGAGGGTTCTAACAAAAGTTCTGGGAGTAGCAATGAAAATTGCCAATAGTTGGGATGAAAAAATTATTCTTTAGCAAAAACATATTTTTCGGCACACATAAAATATCAGCCCTTTTTGACAATTTTGTTTGAATTTTTTGCATAATTCACCCTGGCAGAGTTTTGATCTCCACTCAAAAGATGAGGCACCTTTTTTTGTTGTAGCCCTGCTTTCCCGTCAGAATTTTTGAAATCAACTTGGCATTCTTTCTGAGGGTTGCCGCCAGATCTTCCAAGGCAATTCTGCCATTTTCATCAACGGCTGCCTTTACAGCCACCACATTGGCGGCTGTGAAGGCGGCTGTTGATGAAAATGGCAGAATTGCCTTATGTGACCTGAAGGGAACCTTTCAAAAGAATGCCATGTCGATTTCAAAAATTCTGAGGGGAAAGCAGGGCTACAACAAAAAAAGGCGCCTCATCTTTTGAGTGGAGACTTGGAGAGCAAAACTCTTCCAGGGTGAATCAAGAAAAAAAGTCAAAAAAAATTTTCAAACAGGGCTGATATTGTTGTGTGTGCAAAAGAATATGTTTTCCCTAAAGAATAATTTCTGTTCAGCTCAACTGTAGGCCATTTTCATTGCTACTCCAAGAACTTTTGTTAGAACCCTTGTATATATGTACTCCTGATAGGGATGGTATCAGATGCAGGCCAATCAAACAGATGAGGTATAGGATCCCCAACTACAGTGCTGTACATCGACTCAAAAGGGCTAGGGTATTTGCACAAAACAGAGATTTTAGGAAGATGAGCGTCCCCATTGATCTTTGCAGATGAGTGATTCACTGATGCTTGTTCTGTATATATGCACATGTACTGTATACTGGACATGCGTAGGTGCGGAATGCGGAGGAACACAACGTGGCCGCAGTCCGGGACTTGATTGACGCGTTCTTCGGGTCCCTGTTCGACATCGGGCCCGGGTCGTCGTCCCCCGTGTCTCTGTACCGCCAGGTGCTGGCCCTGAACCACCTCACGTCCACCGTGTGCGAGGAAACCGTCAAGCTGGGCATCTGGAACCGGATCGCCCGAGGCCAGGTCAAGTTCGACGTCGTCGTCATGACCCCGTTCTTCTGCGAGTGCCTCACGCCCGTCGTCGACGTCGTCAACGCGTCGCTCATCTACTTGTCCACGCCGGGCAGCTTCTACGACCTCACCGTTGACGTGACGGGGTTCAGGGAGCCCCTGTCCTTTTGTCCAAACATGATGCTCCCCTTCACCGACCGCATGTCCTTCGCGGAACGCGGCGTCAACCTGGCCCTGACCCTGCAGACCTGGCTCATGAGGTCCGTGGCAGACGCCGTCCTGGGCGACTTCCGCCAGGACTTGGCCGACAAAATATTCAAAGGTACATTTATTCCCGGTACTCTATCCATGCAGTACAGTACGTGCAAGCATGATGCCTCTATATATACAAGTCAACCCCCTTTAAGACGCCCCCAAAAAAGCACTACCCTAGGCAACCGCCAACATTTTGAATGAAACAAATCTCGTAAAAACTAAATGCCATAGAAAACCTGGATAGGACGAGCATTAGTGATGAAACAAAAGTGCTGTTTTGTGTTAGTTTTGTCTTTGTTACAATGCCAACATTGCGGTACAATTATATTTTCCGTCCAGGATCTTGTGTTGGTAAGAAGAAAACAAAATGGCAGTCTTCATTTTTCAAAAACTTTGAACAATATATAGACCTAATTTTAAAATTTGAATAAATTGAAGCAGAAAAATTAATTTTTTGAACGAGTAATGCATTTATCACAGCAATACTCTTTGGAAAATTACTGAAGTTTCTCGAAAACTTGTATTTCTATTACTTTTGAAGGAAAATCAAGTATTTTTTATCAAATTATATAAAATGAAATATTTGATTAACCACCAACCCCTTTAAACTGCCAAAATTGCTCTGGAAAAATGGTGGTGTCTTATCCAGGTTTGACTGTACCACATGCAGCACCTGTGCCCAGCAAATGCTGTACAGTACAGTACTCCCTTATCCGCGGTCTTTCTGTGCTGATGAGTTCCACGCCTATCAAGTGGTCTTTTTAGGAATAATGCCCTACCTTAAAATCTGGTAGTGATATATACAGAGGCCGGGTCCTGATGATACTGTACCTGGATAAAGACGATAAATGGTTGATGTTTCCAGCGAGTCCTGGAACGAATCATTTGAAGAGGATAATAAAGAAAAAAATGGAGAAAGGGGAAGCACAGCATCAAGCAGTTTCTTTCAAGCATGGATCAGCAAATGCCGAAGCTCATTTCCACTCCCAGCAGAAGAATAGAACCTTTTTCGTTCCTGTTTTAGCGGAGTGATTCGACCATGCATCTGCTGGGTTTCGCACGACCAGGAGTCCTTATACTGCAGTGATGCTCGCTTGGATATCATGAGGACTGTACACTATTGTATGTTACGAGCAATTATGGAGCTTACCAAGTTCTCATGTTCCCTCGTACAAGCCTGATCACATTATTACAGGGATGCTGGGCGTCAATTTCACGTTTCATATAGAGAAAAGATGCCCCTTCCCGATTCAAATGAGTGTCCGTTGCATTGCCGCAGGAAATCGTAGAAAACTATTGCAGATTTCTGTAGGACTGCGGCTGCGCGGAGATGTTTCCCCCAGGAATAATTAAGATTTAAATATCACGTGAAATAATTACCTACAGTACGGTGCTCATGCCTCTATTCGTTTTCCGTGGCTGATGACCTGTATAAACCCCAAAAATCAACCACAGTACGACAAAACGATTGCTCCGGCCTCAACCAAATCTTGAATCATCTGCTTGTTGCATTTTGTTTTCCTGTAAGCTGCATAATGAGAGAGATTGCGTGGAAACACTGCATGTCTCGATTCAGCATTCAGCATTGATCATTAAAATGCTTGCGACTGAAACCAGCTTTATCCGAGGGATACCCATCATCTTTGCTCGGGTGTGCTTGGAATTGCGACCTCGAAAAATCCGATGAATGAGCTATTCCAGCAGTTTGAAGAAATTCTTTGTGTCGCAACTCCGAATTTTGACAAGTGTTTTCTTTTCATGTCCCTTAAACTTTCTCCGAACAGTTTAAAAATATTTTGCTGCATCAGGCATGCCAGAGGAAGTTCAAGTATTACGCTCTGGATGGCTATCACATATGATAAATGAGTTGAAATACTGTATATTCAAGCTCCTCTAATATCCGTGCATCCTCTCCTATGTCCTTAATTCTTTGGAGGAAGATGAGTGGCCATAACCGGTTCGAATGACAGACTCGGCTCAACAACTCCATTTTCTTTCACAACTTCTCCCCGTGCCGCTTGTCTGCAAAAAATCGGATGTTCATGGTCTGTAAGTGAGAATAATAGGTTCGGTCACACCGGTTTGAAATATTGCCCTGCGAATATTTTTGTGAGTGACGTGTTTCTCTGCTATTGTAAAGAAAGAGTGGAAATGACGGTCAGATGAGCAAGGTGGCGGTCGAACCTTCCGCTGTGTAACGATGCAATACGCACAAAGCAGTTTTCTTTTTTTTTGGGAAAGATGTCGTGGCGACACGACGTCATTATTATGTAGAATAATAACTCTCAATCATGTTTGGAATCCCTGCAACATCAGGATTAAGATTCTCACCCTGCTGTATATCCTCCTTCTTTCCTATTCCGTCTCCCCAACAGGGATGAATGTGAGGAGCATCTCGGAAGTACAGCGAGACGCGAGTTTGATTTTCATCGGGACACCCGCAGTCGGAGTGTCCACGTCGAGGCCGTCGATGCCGCAAACGATCCAGGTCGGAGGCATGAACCTCAAGGAACCCAAGCCCTTGACCCAGGTCAGAGTTTCTCCTGCACTTTATGGAAGATATGCCCGTCGTGCTTCAGGGATTATAGCAGTGTGATTCCCGCCCTCAGTAAAAAGGAAGCATGCAATTGCACGTGTGCTTTGTATACCCAGGAAGCACAGCAGCGTACCGCGAATAACGCCAAGCAACGGCATAAAATCACAGCGCAGGTGTCCATGTTACAAAGAATAAGTCTTCCTGCATGCAAAGTGAAGAGGAGGTTAATTCCTGGCGAATTTGACGGAAAATGACGACGAGGCTCTGCATCGTGTGATGACGTAGTGATGAATGTCATTCACCAGCACATACCTCCTTTAAGTTGTTCTGATGATTGGCCCTTTGTATAAACCACCCGAGTGGGGAAATTGGTGCACACTGGGGATATGTTTGTAATTCTACACAGTGACCCTGCTTTGCACCTGAAGTGTACCAAAGTTCTTCTGTTGCACATGCATATACCTGATGTACACCAATTGTGTGGTCACATCAGGATTACTCAGGGTTTATTTGGTAGACAAATAAGTTACATGAAGGTTACAGTTGGTGCATTTGTGTGATACTCCTGTTATGTCACATTTGTTCACCAAATGTAGCCCAGGAATGGTAGCAAAATTGTGTCTACAGAGTTGCATGCTTATAACCCCAGAATAGCCCATGTACACCAATTGAGACCCCAGTGTGCACCGTTTGTGGGGTCACACAAAGAATAGCTCCCCACTTGGGCCACTCTTGCCTTCATTGGAGGGGGATGCAATTATTTATTTTCTCTTCAACTCTTCATGGATGTCTTATAAATGTTTCATCCATTATTCAGCTATACAGAAGGAAACAAGGAAAATAGCTTGGATCACAGTGAATACCCTCCACTGAAGTGAAGTTCACCACATAACCCCCAAATTCATAGAGCATGCAAGTGTGCATTCAGCTGCTCTTGATGAATTAAACTTAACTTCAGTGGAGGACATTCACTGTGAGCCAGGTTTTTTCTTCTTTCCTTCTGTAGCTGAGTAATCAATAAAAAATTTATTAAACACCCATCAAGGATTGAAGAGCTAAAGAAAAAATTGCATCCACCTCAATTTGACGGCAAGTGGCAGTTCATTGTCTTTTACAAACCAACCCTTGTACATACAGTACATACACCAAGTCGGGAAAAGAGGCTTGAATTCTTGCCCTGTGGCGGGTACATCAACTGCAATTCAAATCTAAACGTTTGAACTGCTGGATTGCATAGTGCACCACCTACTTCAGAATACTGCTACAAGTTGACTCTCTCTGCAACAGAATTCAAGGGACCACAGCAACATTTGTTGCAGAGAGAATGTAGTTGTAGATGATGTAGAGACCCATAAATGGCATAAAACATGAGAGAGGTCCCTATGGATCCTATGAAAAATTGTCATACAGAGCATATGTTGCTAAAGACAACACTATCATAGAGAGACTCCACCTGGTTGTATAGTACAGTACATTATTGTTGATGATGGAAACAATCACCAGCACCATGAATGTCTCAGCTTTTTGTGCTCTTTCGCGACAAGTGCCATCATCAAGGAACCAGCAAATACCTAGTGCATTTGTTTGTTTCACAGTTTTTATCTGGAATGTGTTTTGCATACTGCAGGAGAGCCCTTGAGCATATACTCGCAGTTACTTTTAGCGCATAAAATCATAAGGCCAGCTGGGACCCGGCATTCATAGTTTTCCTTCTTCGAACATTCATTTGAAGACGGCTTATATTGCATGAATGTCACTGTGCTGATTCCTTTTTCACATTCTCTCTCTCTCTTTCTTCGCTTGGATCATTTCCCCGTTCCAAATTGATTTTTTTCGCCCAAATATCACTGGATCTGGATGTTGTTATTCGCCTGGAATTGATTTTCATTCTTGCCAGCTACAGTCAGCACTGCCATATCGTGTCATTTTCTCCTTTACTACACCCAAACACTGGAGGCGGCCGCGCGCTGTTGATCTCTCCACCCGTCAGACCCAGCATTTACTATAGATTCTTTTCTGTTGAAACCGTTCTGCAGGTTGTTCCTTACTAGAAGAACACCCAAAAAAGGGAAAATTCCTGTCAATTTATGTCATATATTTCACAGAATGGAAAGATGGGATGTGAACTGTGAGTATACTGTTGAGAATTTCCCAAAACAAAGACATTTTATGTCTAAAACGCACCCATCAGCCTGGGACTGGGTGGCTGATTGGAGCCTCTCTATAGAGGCTCTAATTCTATAAAGTTTTGGGTTTATGAATGTCCCAACACAGATTTTAGCAACTCTGTGAATCTCACAATCAGACACAAAAAAGAAAATTACAGTGCACAAGTCTGTCAGGCAAAATTGATGCGAGGTTTGTAGCTCTGCTCTGTTGGAGAATTGGCAGTGGAACTGTTGATTATTGCTTGGCTCTTTTGGGGAGAGAAAGGGACAGGTAGAGTTGATTTCTTCGGGATCAGAAACAATGCTGTGCATGGTTCATCCCGTGAGTCCTTTCTCCTTTGAGACTTGTCCTTTGGTTCTGAGGCCTATAGGAGCAAAGCATCAGTGTTTGGGACTAGGTAGGATTCTTATATTGCATTAACTGTAACCACCATAAGTCAAAGTCCCCAACAATGACTGTCCATTATGAGTTGTGCCACTAGCTCTCAGAATGAGCCAATCTTCATTTAGGGTACAAGAAAAGAAGGACCACAGTGTCGCTCAAGTCATTCCCTTTATTCCCATGGGCTGTATGCATTAATTACATCTCAACTGTTGTCCACAAAAATGACGCAAAGAGAGGCCAGAGGGGGTGACTAACACCATGTCAGTGCTCAGTACGGTAATATACCATGCTACAGTATTGTACAGCAAGGATTGTGCAGTACTGTATACTGTAGTATACATGGGGCACCAGAAAAATCACTATACTGCTGCTGCATATCACAGCTTTGTCTTCACTCAAGTTGTTGCTTACTAGAGTCTTTGTGGGCCACAATCGACAACATTTGTTCGGTTTTCAAATTTTCCCCTCTCAAATGAAAAGTTCCAAATTTCATTCATTTCTATGCATTGAACCAAAATAGCACACTTGTGGACTTTTTGAAGGGTGAATGAGCAAAATTTTGTAGTGGAAAATTCATCCGTGTTTCATCAGGAAGTTGAATATAATACAGTGGTTCCTGCCACATCAAAAATTATACGGAATGGAATGCAGGACGAATGACGAGTCTCTGGTGGCGTGGACTGGAATTGACCCGTGCAGGATTCTATGCAGTGGGCACCACTGCTTTAGTATGGACCAGGAAAGACACCTAATATATACATGACGAGACTAGCTTTCGCAAATCACACTACATATGCAGAGACCGATTATTGCGGGGATATATATTCTGTGCGGAGTCTGATGGGAGAGCGAAGAAAACCCTGCAAGAAAATGCCCAGGCAGGGCATGCAGGGTGTTGGGATACTTGGGAAAGACAACAGAGCCAATGCTGGAGGCAACGGTGCATCCCCGGCATGCGAAGATGGGATGATCCAATGGAGCTAAGAGACGCACGCACAAGCATGCAGGTGCGCAGACACACACACACGAATCGAACCCCGCGGAACCTCGGGTCTCGCCATATATGTAAAGGGAGAGGGAGGGTGGATGCTGAGAAGAAAAGTCGAGATAACTATACAACAGCCCCTGAAGTGGGATTCCCCGAAGCGCGCGCAGTCGCATCAGTCGCCGCAGGGTCGCGGATCCAGAAGGAGCGAATATAGTTACTCTTGATTCCCCCCGTCACGCCGTGATACCATGACGAAGATGATGAGCCTTTTCCCGTGCGTGACTTTGGTGTTGACCTCGCTGGTCATGTGCTCGGACTCGGCGTCGATTCTCTTTGTGCTGCCCGTGAGCACCCGGAGCCACAAGAACGTGTTTGCCCCGCTGGCCCAGGCACTCGCAGCCAGGGGCCACGCCGTCACCATGTTCAGCTCGCACTTGTCCAAGCACGGACTGGACGGGGTGCGGGAGTTCGCCGTGCCCGGGATGATGGACAGAATGGAAGTGGGCTCGAAAATCCTCTGGAGCCAGATGGGACAGACGGGTGTCGTCAACAACCTCTTCACTCTGTTCTTCCTGGGCAAGCTGGGTTCCGAGGCTTGTGACAAGGTACAACATAAACGTATATACTGTGGAAGTGTGCAGTACCTTCAGTCCTGTTATATGTAGGCACCGTCTCCCACGCTCTGGGATTCATCCATCAGTTGCACAGCGGGCTTATCGATTTCACTTTCAATGTCAGAAAAAAAAATTTTTCGTGCTACATTTTTTTGGAATGCCTCTGCCTCATTTAATCAGCATTGGGCAGTACTGCACTGCCATTGTCTAGTGGTTGGTCGTTCACGTTATGCCGAATAGTCGTCTGTGGAAATTTCCCAGACACGTCCTCTTGTGTGGTTGTTGCGTTGCTGTGCATGCGTGGAAAAATACCATATGCGGAGACCAGTATTTCAACAGAAGCTAAAATATAATTGGAATTTAGTCTCGCGAAACTCTCAACGGAAAGTTTTTCAATTCCTGTCATGGACTAAATGGTTTTTTCGAAACTATTTCAACTTCTACCTCAGGAGTTCCTCGTTCATTCAAAGATTGAATTTTGAAAATGTTGTAGGAAATTGAGAAGGTAATTCAAGCATTAATGTCTCAAATTTTTAAAGTTCCCGTGACCTGCGTGCATGAAACACACAAAAAATATCCAAACCAAGATTTTATTTTCTGCTTGGTTCGGATTTCGAGAACGCAAAAATACCAGTAGTGTGTAATACAGAATATAGTAGAAGATGTAAACAAAGTTTCTGATTGAGTGTCACATGTGACAACCATTTTAAAGAATATTCCGTCATCAAACAATTTATTTTTCAAATGTAAATCCTTCCGCAATAATGCTGGATTTCTAAAAGTCGTGTATATTAAGCTTCTTGACAAGTTACTAGGACAAATACTGTAGTTCTGAAATGCTTTTTGGGGAAGAGAGGGAGCTAGATTTGAAGGAGAGTGAAAACCATATATCCTTCCATCATCGAAAAAATTGTAAAGTTTGGTGTTTCATGCATACAGTACGTTCAAAGCAGCACACTGAAAAGAGTGATCTTAACGTGAATAAGTACTGTACAATACTTTTTCCGCTGTAGTACATGTACTGTAATGGATGATCTTGCTCATACAGTAATTTGCCGAATGCCTGTTATCGAAAGGTAAACTCGCATTGGATGAACAGAAAAGAGCGCTGGGGACGGGCATTTGAGATTTCGGACGTGATGTACTGTACGTACGTGAAAGAAAAAGTGCAGGAGCAGCAGTGCTCGTCATCATGCGTATGTGTGTGTGCCATACATCATTCGAGCAGATGCTGTCCATGCCGGAAGTGCAAGCCGCTTTGCGCGGGCAAGTCAGGTACGACCTGGTCGTCCAAAGCGTGTTCTTCGAGGAGTCCTGCCTGGCCCTGGCCGGCAAGTCCGACACCCCGTTCATCTACATGAGCACGGCGGGCAACTGGGCCCACTTGGCCCACGCCATGGGCCACGCCGAGCTCACGAGTGCGGAGCCCAGCATCCTCCTCACCTTCACCGACCACATGACGTTCTGGGAACGCGTCGTCAACACGGTGCAGTACCACGCCGGGAATGCCGTGCACCACCTGCTGACCCTGCCCATGCACGAACGGGTGCTGCACAAGCACTGGCCGGACGCACCCCCGGTCCGAGACCTGCACGCCAACGCGTCCATGGCCTTCTTGAACACGGCCCCGGGCGTCGACTACCGCAACACGCTGCCGGCCACTTTCCTCGAGGTCGGCGGGATGCACTGCCAGGCGCCGAAGGACATCCCCAAGGTTAATGCAGTAGTACCTATAGAACCTAAATGAACCATTGTCATCATTAGGATGCAGTACAGGTTCAATCCGCCCTTGAAGGTGGATTACTCGATCCCACTATACCGGGCGCGGAGATTTTTCGAAATCTATACCAGCACCACTTGTTCCCACACGGGGCAGTGCAGCATGCGTGGATCCCCGATATTAGAAATTAGGAAACCCCTTTACAAATTGAAAACACGAACAAGAATGTCCTCAAGTCTGCTGAACAACCCCTCAATAAAGATGGCGACAATAAATGCCACGAATAGCCCATCACACTTTAAAAAAAGAGGGTGCGCATCTGGAAATGAATGCCAAAATTCCAAGAGTTGACAGAAACCGAAGTTTAATTTGTTCAGCAAATATAAGATATATACCTTAAATAGTTGGAATCATTGTCAACTATATTTACAGGCTTCTGGCTGTCTTATTGCTCGTTTACGCAATCCCAGCAAATGAGTTTCAAAAGAATGTAATGAATCCTGGGTCCCCATTCTGGTTTTTGTTTGTTTTTCTGTATGGGTCATGGGACTTGAATTGGTGGATGACTTTGTTGGGAAATCCTTACAAGCAATGAAAAAGATAGATAAATGTCTCTCTCTATCTCTCTCTCTCTCTCTCTCTCTCTCTCTCTCTCTCTCTCTCTCTCTC